TCAATACGGCTTTCATTATCTCAGGAAGTAAGTAAGATATTGAATAGTTGATGAGCTTTAATAATTTTTAGCTCTATATTCAAGCTATGGAATCACCGAAATTCCTGCTTCTCTTAACCTACAAAACTTATGGAAATTTTATCCAAATGCATATATATATATATATATGTTTATAATTAAAATAAACCTTCAACTCTTTTCACCCATAATTTTACGTTGAAGTCTTTAATTAGTGCTGCTATCTACTTTACAGGTATACTTCATACACTCCATATCAACCGGAGATCTCACAGGGCCGTCTGGAGGGTCTTTTTAACTTCCAGACACTAGTCTCTGATCTCACTGGTTTGGAGATAGCGAATAGTTCTCTCTTGGATGAGGCGACTGCAGCGGCGGAAGCCATGTGTTTGGCCGTCAGGTGAATTCTCCATGATAGGGTGACTGCGTTGCATATGCGATTCGATTTTAGTTATTAATCAGAAATATGATCAGAAATAGCAACTACTTATTACACGATAAGTGTAAAACAAAAGCTACTTGGATTCATGCCATCTAGAATGCAAATTTTCTGAGTCCAGGTGAATAGTGACCTTTCTAAAACTAAAATAAATATTAGAATTATTATTCCCATGTCACAAATATTAGCATGTAATGCTTAATTATGAATTTCAGTTCCATGTAGCGCATGGAAATATCTAGTCAAAGTTTCGTTGCCTGGTGGAGAGGGTAAACTCTTTTTAAGGCTCGATTGTTAGATGCAAATATAAGACTATTTAACGAGAAGGCATAATTACTTAAGGAAATTTCGCTATTATCGAAGATATAAGTTATATATAAATGTAGAGGTTGTTTGATCTTGTTCTTGCAACTTGGTCATATTGGTAGGAAGACTTAGAGGAACACGCCTAGTCCGGAGACCATTGTATGTATGATCATTTCCAAAGTCGGACTGTGGACGTGTTACCTTCCCAGACGTTTCGCCGGCATCGTAGTCGGTATCGTCAGTAAGTTTGGCCATTCGTAGCATCACACTACAACTCGTCACAGAGGCAAGTGAAGCCGATCCTTTGACCAAACACGTATTAAATAGTTGTGGTATCTTCCTGTCTTCCCTGGGCTATTCACATTTCCTATATCCTCCTATCACGCCTTCCATGTCACAATTTTTACCGTGCTTATTTTGATGTAGTGTGGTGTGCTCCTTTGAGCGGCATTCATGAAAATTCTTCACACACCACAACTTTTGTGGGTTGGTACACAAGAGAATGGGGCATAGGAAGTCATAGACTTGGTATTAGGGATAGAAACTGGATAGACGCGGCGGAGACTGGAGCTAGTTGGCTGAGAGTATGTCTGTTGTACCATAGATTTGTTCCATGTGGCATAGGCTTGACGATAAGACTTACGCAGAGGCTTAAGCCTCGAATTAGTCACCCAGACACAGAGAAGGGCAAATCACGTCTCGAGAGGCACAGATGGGGTGGCAGGAGTTGAGTGAAATATGTGAACCAGGGAGAGAGCAGACGGAGCTTACGGGGCAAGAGAGAGACTGTGATAAGACCTAGAGAAGGAGAACTGCGTAAAAATATGACAGTCTCTGATCGACATTCCCAGCACAAAGGTGAAGGGGGTGAGAACGACAGAGTGGAGTGTGAATGGTTTTCATAAATGCCGCTCAAAGGAGCACACCACACTAAATCGAATAACGCACGGTAAAAATTGTAACAGTGAAGGTGTGATAGAAGGGTTATAGGAAATGTGATTAGCCCGGGGCAGAAGGGGAGATTCCACAACTGTTTGACACACGTTTGGTCAAAGGATCGGCTTTATTTGTCTTTTGACGAGTTTTGTAGTGCTAAGAATGGCGAGGCCAATATGACCAAGTTGCGAAAACAAGGTCCAACAACCTCCATACAACGAAATGAGACTGTGACCACACAAAAGGCCACACCATCTTGGTCTTCATACCTTCGATTATATATAAATATGCCTAGAAATTATTTGTTGTTTTATTTCCGATTAGCTGAAGTTCGCATTAACTTTCTGTCCTATTTTCTTTCAAAATTAGTTACTTGCTGCATAATAAAGCTCAGGAACTTATAGTTACAGATGAGGGGTTTAGTTTTGAGTCTCAAGGTAGATTAAAACGGTTTGCTTAACAGGACAATGACTCACAATCCTAAAAATTCTAAAGATTGCAAGTTAGCAATTTTGCTGGTTCTGGTGAGTTGTGAATCGATATCTTAGTGATGAACCCTCAAAATGACGCTTTATTGTTTTGTAACCAACCGAGATATTTGTATTTTAGATAGTCTGATCAAGTACTTCAGTTTATCAGCAATAAAGGCAGCTACTTGATTTCATTTACACTGCCCTGTATGTGACAAAACTATTTTAACAAGTTAACTATTTATAAGATTACTCGGAAAAAGAATTCCAAGGAAGCAGGTTTAATAGACAAAATCTATTTCATTTCATTCGGTGATGTAGTCATTAATAATTGAGTTACACAAAAGCAACTAAATGGCAGGCTAAATCACTCCAATGAACCTCGATCCAGCATAATGTATGCAAGCATTTAATGATGCAAATGGCAATCCTGAAAAAAATACAGGGCAAGCATAAGGTAAGCGAGCGTGAATCCTGCCTTTCGGATGAGCCTAGAGTGAAAAAAGCAATTTAAGATAAGCAAATTTATAGATATTGTTAATTGTCAGAAAGGGCTTAGTTTGCATGAATACTATTAGGAAATGTTTTCTACTCAATGCTCAAAATTACAGACATACATGCATCCTGTCCTTTGGAAATCAAAAGAACTCTAGTAATTATTATACAAATGTCTGTGGAAAGCGTACTACATATCCTCAAGCGTATATATTTTTTCCCAAAAACGATGTTGGGTCGCCTGTGATGTGCCTTTAAATTTATAGAACTTTCAGTTTTATGACTTTTTAAGACATTCTTAGGAATCTGCAGTTAAGCTGAATATATCGAAGACCGTTGAAGCCTGAATATCCCAGTAAAATAAATAAAGGGTAGACCAAGAGGAATATTCAGTGACATTTCGATTAGATTGACCCACAACTCCCTTCCTTAAACCTACCACAGGAAAATAACTTCAGGTTAATACTGTTATATCAGGAGTTTGTTAGCAAAATAGTTACCATTCGTACATATACAAAGAAGATAATAATTTAGCTCAAAATTTTCCTTAAATAAATCTCTTAGTCTCAGATTCACCATAATAATAATAATAATAATAATAATAATAATAATAATAATAATAATAATAATAATAAGAAGAAGAAGAA